ACACACACACACACACGCAGGTGACAAATTAAAACCCTGAGTAATTGAATGGAGAAGTATCAGGAATGCAGAGGCCTCAGCTGCTTCATTGCATGGTACAATTACGCTCTGTGGCAGGTAGCACAACACTGATCCGGCCCAGTGGATTCTGATTTTATATAAAGACGACAGGAGGGAAAGATCTAAGTGACTTTGAAAGAGGGTTCAGTCAGAAACACTGATCTGTGGTTGATGTTTCAATGGAACCACTGACGTCCGCATCTATTGGAAAGTGCAGCAACCAAAGACGGATGAGTCATCCTACACAGTGGTTGATACGTGTCTCAACAAGTGGGGAAAGTGCAACGTGTGGCGCACACAAAGAGCTGATCAGCTGTGGGGACATTTGATGCCGCTTGTCCACTTAGAGGGAGGGTCACCGCTAATCAATAGGAAGTTGCTCTGAGTGATCTTTATCCGATGATAAAACACATCTGATGGGAGTGGTCTCTTCCAGGGCACCAGGGGTCATTGAATGCTTGGATGGATATTAAAATGTATTTAATTTGACCTTCATCAGACTTCAACCCAATTCAACACCTAAGGGACATTTTGGACAGACGTGTTAAACGGCGCTCATCATCATCAAAACAACAAATGGGGGAATATTTTGGCAAGAATGATTTAGTTCAGAGACACTTTGAAAACTTGACTCGACACCTTTCTAACGCGTTGGTTTTAATTTGTCACCCGTCGGTACAGACACCGTAGCATTCAGCTGGTTAGCTGTGAATCACTGGACATTAGCAGTTAAGGTCCACGGCAACAGATGAACAGCAGGAGCGTCTCCTCAGGGGTTAGAGTGTTAACACTGAGGCTGGATGCACAGTACAAGATGTTTTAAATCACCACAGTGATGACACTAAAGTATGAAGTTATCAGACTAATGAAAATGAACATTACTGGTGTTTAACTTAACTGAAAACTGTTTTTCGTCAAAGTTTAACTTGTTCACACCCAGTAGTGATGTCACAGTGTACCGGAGTACATGGAAGTTAAAACCCTGGAAATCAGCAATAACAAGGTTTTCCTCTGGGGTTAAGTTTGAATCTTTGAATATTTGAATATTTGCGTGGCTCATTTGATTCCAGACAATTGAAATAAATTTTGAAGAATAATTTTGAGCCATAGTTAATTTGTTTCAGAAGCAAAATCTGGATGCATGTGTTGTACTGTGAATCCACCATGTGTTAACAGTAGCAGGCAGACAAAACAACAAGCAGGCACTGAGAGGACAGCCCTGTGAGGCCCCTTGGTATAATCGCCATATGAAGTTCGAGTAACCATGGTAACCTTTGCAAGCCCTCAAGTGGAGGTAACCATGGCTCTCGTTTAAGAGCTTTAATTTGTGAGAACAAAAATTTTTTAAAAATAAATGGAAAAGTTAATGTTCTGTATGTGGAGTTCAATTTCAGCATAGTCCATGTTAGCGGTGAACAAAAATAGAGGGAGGGGCACTTCCTACTTACAGAGCAGGTGACAGGGGTGTGGCCTCAGGCAGGGCGGGGCAGCGCGGCGGCAGCGGCGAGAGCGCAGCCTCGCCGTAGCGTAGCCTGGCCTTAGCTAAGTCTAGCTCAAGCAAAGCTTTCGCCACACTAGCCGCAGCGAGGGTAGCGTGGGCTCGGGGCTGCGCTAGTCCTCGCCAAGCTTCTGTAATGTCGCAGTGGCAGCAGCACAAGCACATGGAACAGGCTGAGAGACACTCAAAGCATCATGGGTAGGACAGGGGAGAGGGGGTGAGAGGTGAGGAAGGAAAGGCAAGAGGACAGAGCAAGGTGTCTGAGAGAGCAACGTAAAGGGAGAAGGGTTATTTGAAGGTTTAGTAGACACAGACACAGGAGCTCTATTGTCCAAATATCCCCAACTTCTAATTCAATCACTCTTTTGAGCATTAACTTCCCCACAACATCCAACACCAGGCCACATCATCAACCAAACATTTATTCTGAGAAAAATGGAGCTAACCTTTCCACAAAACAAAACAAAAGCAACCTGTCTTTAATTTTCTCTTTATTTATGCTGACCAGGAAGAATCATCTCCGTCCAATCTTTCAATTAGTGTTTTGGTTAAACCTCGAGATAAACAGCGCTGTCAGACCCTGTCCAGGAAAACTAGAGGGATATTTGACGAAGAGAGCACTGGAGGATGTGTGAGGTTCAGTGGCAGCTGGACAGACGGGACAGAGACGGACAGACAGACAGATGAAGCAGACACAAGGACCACAGCGCTTCGCTTTCTGTACCATTCAAATCAACACCTTTAATAAAGCTTATACGTACCAAAACTGTAATACAACAAAATCTCACAAATTCACACAAGTTTTCAAATGTACAAATGCTACAAAAACGGTTTGCAATCCAGGCAATAAAAAAACACCATAGAAATAGTTTTAAAATCTTTTTTTAAAAAGGCAACTTTGCAGAGAAGCCAGCAGCGAGAGAGGTAGGGGGTTCGTCGAGCTAAAGCACAGTCTGAAAAACAGCCGTCTGAGGGACAAGCACACAAAGACTCGAGCTACAACGAGGCTCAAAGACACAATATCGCCTGACTCGACAGCGAGGGGGCTGTAAGATTTGGTCAGTAACCTTGGTCGAAGGAGTCGTCTGAGGAGCTGAGGCCCGCTTCCTCCAGCAGCAGGGATAAGTGCTTGTGTTTCTTCTTCTGAGACTTCTGACTGGACAGCAGGGACGTCGGCGACGACGCAGGCCGCCTCTTCCTGGTCAGGTTGCCATGGGAACGCGTTCCTGAGAGAGGGGGCCAGCCCCCTCGGGCAGAATTGTGCTCCTCTGAATCGGAGTCTGGTGCGGAGAGAGTGCGGTTAATGATTGATGAGGTCACAAGGACAAAAACATGGAGTCAAAGAGGATTTCTGTTTGACCTCAAATTCCTCAAACTAAACCTGAAATAAATCTGGTTTGAAAAATCTAAGACCAGCAAAGACTTCGTCCATCTCTGAATGTTTTCTTTCCCTCACTCTCTCATTTGGGTTTGTTTGTTCTTTCTCTAAATGTAAAATCTTCTTCTTTCCTCTCTAAAAAAGGCTAAAGGCATTTGTTGGTGGCTATTCTCCGTCAGCTCACACAGAGCAACAGTTTGGTTCATTATGTAACGTGATTTAAATAGTTTTCAAACAACAGCGAGTCTCTTTGGCCCAGAGGAATAAAGATGTATCCACAGACAACACTTGTTAGTAGCAGCGTTGTTGGTTTGTTGGCTTTTCATGGACTTTGACGACAGAAACTCCAGCTCAGCAGAAATCAAAGTATTCTCACCCTGAATGTAAATGAAATGTTAAACCTGCAGAAACCAGTCACTCACCCTCTGCTGTCTATAAAACTCAGTGTTTGGATGATGTCATGTAAAAACATTCAGATCAGATCATGTGTCCGTCCTCAGGTACTCACTGTTGGAGCAGCTGCTGAGCTCTGATCTCATGGGAGAGAACAAAGCCGTCTTCTTCTGACCTTTCACCTTCTGGATGGTCTCTGAAGTGGAAGCCTTGGCGGCCATCTTGTGTTTCCCTCCTTTGGCAGCGGAGTGAATGGCGTGCTCTTTCATCCGGCCGTCAGCAGACTTGCCCTTCGACTTGTCTAGTTTCGCGTTGGAGACGAGTTTGCGGGATGCGCTGAGCGAGCTGAGCTGCGAGAGCGAGAGCGCTCTGTCGAGGTCCGACGCCAGCTGCTCCTGCTCACACACATGGCCGCGCTTTGCCTTCAACACCTGAGAGCGACACACAAAAACCAGCGACATTAATTAAACAGAACAATTCCATTAAGATGTTGCTGAAATCTAAACATGCACTTCCAGGTGTGTTACCTCCAGAGCGTGACTGGTGGATGGCTCCTGGTCCGTCCAGCTCTTCTTCTTCTTTTTCTTCTTTTTCACCTTCACTCCTCCACTTCCTGCCTCCGTCTCTTCCTCTTCCCTGGACACACGGAACCTCTTCCTCTGTCCTTCCCCAGCTTCAGAGTCCTCAGAGTATTGCACTGTCCTTCCCACCCTGAGATAAGAAGAAAGTTTGCACTGTATGAAGCAAAAACCTGAACATACCAATTTAAAAGAAAATCATTATTTTTGCTGCAGGTCATATGTTGACTCACTTTCCAGGCCTGCTGTCCAGTTTGGGAGGTGTGGCCAAAAGTTTTCTCTTCCTGGGTCGTCCTCTACCCCGTCTGGTGAGACTCCGCCTCTCGTCCTCCTGCTGCAGCCGCTCACTGACGTAAACATAAAAAAAGTCAGTGTGTTTGTCTGGGTACGACATGCTGGAACCTTTTCCGTGTATTAAAAGCCACAGTGTGATTCAGTCATTTTCAACATGCTCCCACACGTGTGACCCGTGTGCAGCAGCACTCACTGCTTGTCTCTGCGTCTCTGGAGCTTGCTCATCTCCCGCTGCTTCTCCTTGTACGTCTTCTGCAGCTCAGCCAGGCGGACACGGTATTCCACTTCCACCGCGTCCATCATGTCAACTGACATCTTACTGTACAGCTGCAGGGAAGAGAGGAAAAAGATTAGGGAAGAAACTGATAAGACTTTCATCAGTGGGTGACCATGAAATGTTTTCATCATTTTACCGGCTCCTCTTTCCTCTGCCTCCAGCTGTACTTCTTATTGGGGTCCAGAGTTCTGGGCAGATCGATGTGGGACTGTTTCTCTATGGCCTCCAACAGGATCTGTCTGCTGGCCTCGAGAAGACAATCCAGACCCTCTAATGTCAGATCTGGAGTGGATGTAAAGACATGATTTTAAGTGTTAGACTCCAGTTTTTTAACTTATTATCATTTCTAATGATTTTTCTCCCCCTTTATGTTCCTTCACTTTCTCATACACACTCACCTTGTTCCTGGCGGATGTGCTCCATCTCTCTCTGGGCCATTTGGCTGAGCAGGGCCATCCCCTCAAGCGCCACCATCTCCAGAGGCCCAGCACTGCTGCAGTCAGCGCCCACAGGAAGGATTTCTATCTGCGGTAGGAGTATTGGGGCGGGTGGGGTGTCAGGGCGGGTCTGATTGGCCATCTCGCTGGCTGTCAGCAGGGCGAGCATCCCTGCCATGGGATCCTCAGGGCCGAAGACCAGCGGGAGCAGAGAGTTGGAAGTGGCAGGCGGATAAACAGGTGTCTCTGGAACAATTTCTTTCTGATGGGGAGTGTGTGAGTCGATTGGAGTGTCTGGTCGTTCTTGTTCACACGCAGCGCTGGCGGTCTGCTGCAGAAGAACAGTCTTCTGAGCAGATTCCTCACAGTCTGAATCTGCAGTGATGCACGGTGGGTGTCGTGTTTGCTCTGGATCCTTCATGGCCTTTTGATTGGGCTCAGCTTCTGTGAGTGGAGGGGGTGGAGGATATGTTGCCTGGCATGAGTAAGATGAAACCTCGATCTTGATTTGTTCCTTCTCTTCCTCCCTGACGTCTTCCAGCCTTTCACCTTGTTGCAGTGGAGGACTGGGGACGTGCAGAGGTAGCGGCTGAGGCCGGGGCTTAGATACTTCCACATCAGTCTCTCTGTCTTGACTGGCTCGCACAGAGCTGCAGCGAAGGGGACCCAGAGGTTCTGGCGCCACATCCAGCAGAGGCCGCTCCACACCGGGTTCCTGTTTGAGGAATGATCCGGTCTTTGATCGCTCTAGTTTCTGTGGCTTAATGTCTGTGTCCAGTAGCCTTGAATGGAGGTGTGCTAAGGGCAAAGGGGCAGCTGAGGGTGGAGAGCGGGAGCGGTGGGCTGGGACTAGCTCTGTGTTTGTCCCTGTGGGTGCTGGGATGTGATAAGAAGGGAAAGGGGAGCCAAATGGGGCGGTGACAGACTGGTAAGGGTAACCTGGAGGGAGATCTGTAGAGCAAAGACAGGTTTTAATCAATATGAAACCATCAACTCATCTACACAACTTTACATTAGTGCTGTGAAGCTGATAAAAGAAACTCACCAGGATAGATGCCCTGAAAGGGGGCAGAGCCCGGTTTCTGTCTCTCCCTCTGCTCCCTCCGTCCCACCTCCTCCTCAGCCGCCTCCTGTTTAGGCCGCCGTGGCGAAGACGGGGGCGGCGAAGCAGAGCGGGGGGAAGGTGGGTGCGGCAGTGGGGTCGGCGAGTGCACCAACACTCTCTGCCCCGCCTCCTCTGACTTGAGCGTGGTCACAGGTGAGGGGAGCGGAGGCAGCGGGGTGAGGGAGGACGTAGAAGGTGTTGGCGAGCGAGAGGGGCGGGGAGGTTTGCGAGGATGCAGGACAGGTGAAGGCGATGGGGAGGATATTGAGGAGGGTCTGGGTTTGGGGTCTGTGTTCCGCTTGTCTGCCTTGTCTTCTATGTCTGACCGGTGCTCGCTGGCCTTTAAACGCTCCTGAAACACAAGAGAGGACTTAGAA